AGCACCTAGAATAGCGGCTGGCACACAATAGGTGCAGAAACTTTTTGTTCAAGAAAGGAATAAAACTGTGGTTACAGAGGTTAATAAGGTCACAGGGAATGAACGAGTGCTGAATCAAACAAATTCAAATTCAGGTCTTTCTGATGCTAAAATAAACACCATCCCCAAAACATCCTACTGCTACCCTAGGCATTCAACTATATACGTCCGTCATTAAATTACTATAAGGTAATACAGTATCTTATATACATACAATATAATATAATATATATAATAAATATAAATTTAACATTGTAAGGTTTGGTCGTTATAATTCTATTTTCCAATTATCACATGTAATCACATCAATTCTTACTCTTTGTTTTCCACAGAAGAATGGTTATTTTTCCACCTGTGGATAAATTATTCCTGGCTTGCAGTGGAACCAAATCAATCATTTTAGCTGTTTTCTAAATCTGTTTTATGCAATGTGTTACTAAACAATAAAAAACAATTTATTTTCTTTCCAAAAGTCGTACAACACTTTTAACTAGAAGCCAATGAAAAAGTTATTCAGGTCTTTCTATCTCTATCCTACTCCAAATTCTCTTTTGCTATTTTAAGCTATCTACAGGAAGATATTTTATCATTTCCCTTCATAGATGATATCTATAACAAATCTTCAACTATTTTATTAAATCTTTAAAATAACCTTGTCAATATTAGAGGCCACATATGAATTTTTTATTTTTTTCTCAAAGTCCAGCAATAATCTACACCACATAACACATAGTTTCCAATAAATAGGGAAAGCCTTCTCCTTTTTCCATCCAGCTGAATCTTTCCCACCATTTCAGAATAAATCCTATCAAATAGCACACACCTTGAATATTTAGCAAAAAAAAGAGGCAGCTCACAGTCTTATCTCATTTTACTGTCTAATCTTCATATTTTTATGTTTTTTATACCCAGTATTTTGTAGATTTCAATATATTTAATGAAAAATGTAATTTCGAGCTACTATTTGCAAGCCTCTTTATATGTTAAATATATTAAATATAAACAATAAACTTTAAAACCATCCTGAATTTAGTACTGTTATCCTTATTTTATGGATGGGGAGACTGAGGTTCAGAGAAGTTAAGTAAATTGTCTAAGGTCACACAACTAGTATGCAGCAGAGTGGGAATCTGAACCCACGTCCATTTGCCTCTAAACCAGTAGGCTCTACTAAAATTTGCATCACTTCATAGGATCTATACTGCGGACATAAAAAGACAGACCCACAGGTTGATACTATTATTCAAGGATATATATTACTATAAACTAAAGTAAAATAGGAGTATTATAAGAGAAGCCCTTGAGGAACATATAATGTAATAGAAAGTAGAAGATAAAGTAGAAAGGGATTCTCTAAGAGTTAAAAAGAAAGTGCTACAGAAGTCCAAATCAATTACTAGGTGGAAACTAGGGGGTGGGGGGAATAGGGTGGGAATCAGGATAGGCTTCAGAGAAGAGCTGTGGAGGACGGCAGAATGTTGACAAAGGAAGGAAAACATTCTATGCAGAAAAAGATGCGATGAGCAAAGTCAGAAGCAAGACTGCATGAGGCTGAGGGGGTGGTTATGTTCAGGTAACAGGCAGTTTTCTAGCCTGATTTTTAAAGTAAAATTTATAAAAGAGAATAGCGAAAAGTAAGGCTGACGGTAGTCTGAGATCGGGAGGGCCTCAATTGCCTCCATTTTTGCTTCTAATCGACAATGGATAGACAAGAAAGACAGGGCTACGCAGACCTGGTTCATTGCATATTCCATCTTTCCGATGTCAATCTGCCTTCTACATCACTCATTTTTAGACCAATGTATGTAATCTCCAGGCAACCATAATACTTAAAGTGGTTATTCTCGAATTTCTTCTCTCTGGAACACTTCTATGAAATTCTTATCTGCCCATTTTATCAATGAACAAAGACTTCCCATCTTTTGAAGATTAATGAGACCATGAAAAAATAAGCCCTTTAGTACCTGACTTTCACCAGAGTGATTTTAAATATTGTTTTTTCACACGACTCTCTAGTATTAAGAAAACAACAACAAAAAGTCTTTCCCCTTAAGGCACCCCTCCCACCTAAACTCTGGAACTAATTCCTCATCACTTCCTCTAGAAGCTCATTCCTATCGTTTCCTCCCTTTAGTGCAGGATTTGCAAACTCCAATGTGAGAAGCAGGGCCTAGATAAGACAATGGGTAAGAAACAGTTTATACTGCAGATCATTCATAACACCCATCTCATTATACCGTCTTTCGAAATACTCGCAGACAAGACGAAACTTTTCCATGAACCATATACAGCCTGCTGGCCTGCCACTTTGCAACCTTTACCATATTGCATCTTCAGGCCCTATCTTTATTCTGTCTACCTGTCTGTCTTCCCCATTAGACCTAGTATTCTGAGGGCAGGAGCTATGTTCATTGGAGAAGACATATAAATAATTTATTATAATGTTAAATATTATAATACAGCTATATACATGGTGCTATGGGAAGGAAGGAGTTATCGAGGGTAGCTTCTCCTTCTAAGATTGAGATGAAGCTTAATCTTGATGGACATTTAGGAGTCTGCTGGGCACACTAAAGAAAAGGGCATTCTAGCTCAAAGAAACAGAATGTGCTTGACTTAGAGGTATTAAAGAATAGGATGTTAAAGAATTGCCAAGTGTTCCTGTACAGATAGAGGACAGGCACATGTAAGAATGCAGCTGGAGAGGAAATTAGAAAACGAGGCAGGGATAAGATCACAAAGGGCAATAGGGAGCCACCTGAAAGTTTTAAAGGGGAAAACAGCTCTGGTAACAGAGTAGAAGATGCGTGAGTAGGGTAAGAGCGAAGACTAGGAGACTACTTAGGAGGCTACAGCAATGACAGGTGTGTTAAAAGATGAGTCTGAACTAAGGAAGCAACAGTGTGAGTAATGAGGGGAGAGAGTTGAGAGTTATTTAGGAGAAATAATCAACAGAACTTGGTAACTGAATGTGAAGGAATCGGTCATATTTCACTGGTTTCGGGCATAAGCCATTGGATTGCTTATGGCGCCAAGACCAGAAACATAGGCTGGCTCTGGCCCACATTAAAATAAGCTTGAGGGTTCCGTTATCACCCTCACTGACACACACAAGTCTCCTAGGTAGCCCCCAAAGAAATCTCTCTCTATCCTAATTCAGTATTTCTCAAAGTGTGCTCCTCAGACTACCTTAACAGAATCTCCTGTGGTGCTTGATAAAAACGCAGAGGTCTTGGCCCTATCCCAGACTCTATGAGCGACAAAACTTACATTTTGGTACACTTTCGAGTTTCAGAACCATTAGCCTAATCCAGCCTACCTACTACTACCAAATTTATTTTTCTTAAACCCTGCTGTCACTTCCTTGCTCAAACTAATTTCTAATCTTCTGCCTGGACTTCAAGATCCTCTTTCAAATTTATTTTTGAATCTTTACAATATACATTCTTTGTTCCAATAAAGTCAACCTCATCTCTCGCTTCCCTCTCCCCACCACTGCCCCCACACAGTTTGGTTCTTTCTCCAAGCCTTTGCACTGAATATTACTTCATAATCTGAGAGCTTCTCCGTAGTCTCTTCTCCATAGTCAAATCCCAGTCATCACAACTAACTCTTCCTGAAAGCCCAGCTTAAGTGCAGAAATTTGCATGGAATTTTCTCTAATTACTCTAACCCTACTTCTCTCTCCTGCTTATGAATTCCTATTACACTTACAATCAGCACACAATATTTAAGGTTTGATCATTTCAACATATATTATTGAAACTATAAGGTCTTATCTCATTCTTATTTTCCAGTCATTGGCACACCTAGCACAGTTCTTGGCACATAATAAGCACTAAAGAAATATATGCTGATTTTTGAAATTATCCTGAAAGATTGACGTCTTTTTTCCCCAGATATCACATGAATTAAAAAAGAGAAAATAAATCAATTTTTTAAAGCAAAATAAATATTAAATACATTTACTACTGTAGACATCACCGTACTTGGTGATGTTAAAGATAATGTTTTCTGCCCTGTTCTCTAAATACAGACTGCTTAATCATGAAGGCAAGGTAATTACAAATAGCTCTCAATTACAATATAGGCCACTTTCGGTGTATTATGTAACAGTGCATCATGTAATTATGGCACTGAAATACAGTGCCTTGACTATAAAACCTTTAAAAAACAGCAACAGAAAGAACCTTAAAAGATAAAGTAAGCCAATCACTTCAATTTCTCCATTTAATAACTGAACCTCAGAGAAATTACATGACTTGCCCAGGGCCGGCCCCGTGGCTTAGCGGTTAAGTGTGCGCCCTCTGCTACTGGCAGCCCGGGTTCGGATCCCGGGTGCACACCGATGCACCGCTTCTCCGGCCATGCTGAGGCCGCGTCCCACATACAGCAACTAGAAGGATGTGCAGCTATGACATACAACTATCTACTGGGGCTTTGGGGGAAAAGTAAATAAATAAATAAAATTATACATGACTTGCCCAAAATCACAGAGCCGACTAGCAGCACTCAACAAAGACAGGCACCTAGGCCTCCTGACTGAACATAAGGGTTGTTATCATTACACTGTGTGCTCAGTGAGACTAAAATCAAAGTGAATCCTGTTAGCATAACCAACATTTTAGGAGTCTCTCCCTGCCATCCTGAGAAACTGAGATAAAACACAAAATTTCATCAGAATCATAAAGACTGACACAGGCACAATTCCAAAACAAAATTAAACTTTCCAAGACAAAATATACAAGCATATTGTAGTTCTAAAACATTTCCCCAAACCACAGGAAAAACTCATACTATAGCTAAATTCTAATCACCTGATCTTAATATTAATTTCACTGCTTTGGTAAAATATACACCAAAAGAAGGACCAAATAGTATAAAATACTATAAGCAACAATCATTCAATTCCCAAAAGCATAAATTCACATCTAAGGGTAAAACACATCTTTTGTACTCACCGTAACTTTACTTCCAACTATCTGCATGCAGGGGTCAACGGAGAGTGGTTATGGTGTAAAAAAAAACAAACAGCAACAGTATTAGTAATCAGAAGCTTTTCACAGAAGTTAAGTGTTTAGTAAATTAGTAAGTAGCTAACCCTATGTATACTCTTTAACACTTCAGATCTAGAGGCTAAAACAAATATATCAGTATAATTTCTACCATATTTCAAAAATGTGTAAAGTTTGCAAAATAAGGATTCCCAAATAAAAGATTACTACTATTTGAGGATTTTTTAAAAATGTACTGTAATGGGCTTCTCATAGAGTATGATCTAAATATCAAATAATGCAAGAGTAAGTGAAATCAGGCATCATTTTACCAGCCCACAGCCCCTCAAAACAATTATCAATGGATACTTGATTTTTTTCCCAAAGATTTTTTTTTCCTTGTTATAACAGGTATACTATTAAGGTTGAAATAAGGTATTTTAGAATATAAATGTTGCATTTAAAATCATGCATTAAGAAATGAACTTTAGGTTGAAAACTGGAATATTTTATATTGCTATGAATTTAAGGTTATAACATTGTTTTGCATTATACTTGAAAATTACAAAGAAGATAGATTGCTTATGATTCTAGTTTTCTTGGTCACCCTAGCATTTCTATTATAAGATCAGAGTTTTCTATATAATGTGAAGACAAAGAAGCATTTTATATGTAAACATGCAGATATTCCTAAGGAGGAAACAGTTCAAAAATTGCAACTTTGATTGAGCTTTCCTAATGGATAAGACATAAGAGAATTTCTGAGAGGCAAAATTGCGTTTAAGAAAGCAAGAAGTAAAATCATAGTCCTAAACATAATTTTATGTTGAAATCCAAATATAAATCAAATCATTATTATCAGAATCCTACACTTGAATATCAAGCAATGTCCAAAAAAGGGCTAATTCATAATCTAAAACCATTAATCTGACAGCAGTTATTACCAATATGTATTCTATTTTTCAGCTAGTACTTTAAAAATAAAAATCAAATATAACTGAAATCCCAGTAAGAATCCTAAATTGAACAGGATACCACAAGATACAAAAAGATAATGACAGTTTCTAACTAAATTATTTCAGAGGAATCCATGAATTTCCAAATACAGAAGCAGCTTTCTTAAATATTCACTCAACAGACTATTTACAGGCAGTGATTATTGAGTTGAATAAAAGCCTCTTTGGTGCCATTAACAGTCTTCTGAATTGAAAGATATGCTATTGACCTAAATTATTTCCTCCCACTAAAAAGACAGAGGTCTTATTTGTCCCTTGTTTATTTAGCACAGACAGGAGACCAAAAAAAGAATGTGAGCCTGTCTTAACAATTAAGGCAGGTCTATACTCAGTGAAACGACCAGAATACGGCCCATTTAATGATTCATTCGGATTGCAAAATGATTGCATTCAGCTAAAGCACATACAGCAAAATCGATTACATTGGCCAAGAGAAGCTAAGAGAAACTGGTTTGGTCATGTTTGGGTTCAATTGTTTTTCACCATATCCAGATGACACCTGGAAAAGAAGACCTTGGAAAGAAAATATCTGATAATGGCAAAAGCAAAAGCATAACACACACACACACACACACAAACACACAAAGATATGCTGCAACTTTCAACCGCTTATTACACGGGCCAATCTAAAAATTCTGTAGATGTTTTTGGTATCACTATTTTAAATTATTTTCTATTGAGATTTTTTTTGAAATCAGTGACACCTCTCAATGGCTGATGTGTCTTCAAAAATATAATTTTACATATTTCAAAATCTCAACTTCAAAGATTGCGATTTAAGTTAGAAATAAACTAGTTTCTTACTGGCATTTGGCAAACTAATGTTAGGATTTCAGTAACTAATTTTTCCTCATGTCTATATATGCTATATATGCTGTTAAGATATAACATGCAAGACCCCCTCTAAATCCCTGATGTGTTGCACCTCTTTCAGGATTATGAATCGGTATGACAACATTTGCAACATTAACAAAGTCTAGTTTTCCACTTCTGAAAACATATGCTGGTGTTTGAAAATATAGACTCTTCCAGATTATTTGTGGCCAAATTATCTACATGTACCAACTCCCTAAGTCAAGTGCGTAACCACACTTGTTACAATGAGCAGACAAGTCCGGCTTGTGCAGAGAAGAGGTTCTTCTCCAAACCCTTATTTAAAGTTCATTCATCACTGACAGAGTTACTCAAGCTACTTTTTCCTTTAATATTCACACAACTTACTCTGTATAACTTACTCTGTATATCTATGGGACTTTAAGAAGAAAAAATTAAGAAATAGTTTTCATCATCTTTTAATTTCCCTTATATTCTCTTATTCCATGCTAATTTTAACAAAGTTAATTACATAACAAAAGACTCTCCTTTGCTTTAGAAACAGGTTTTGAGCATACACCTACGTATAGTATCATCTTGCTTTATTGTCCTTACCCAGGAAACCAGGAGAATGATGGACGTTTCTTATTGAGCTCATATTTTGTTTTTCAATTTCTCACAAAATGACTAATGCAGGTGTTAGAGGGGGAAATGTACAATTTATGTTTAAATGTAAATATAATTCTTACATGTTTTACATGTGACTATAAAACATTTTTCCACCCAGGACTCTAGTGGAAAAGAGTTTGACTACTTATGAAGCATTTTCATAAAGAAGTGGCTACAATCACAACTACTCTAAACGAGGGAATGTTTTTAATCAATGTATTAATATAATGAAAAAGTAAATGTAAAAAAGTATAAGATATGCAAAGCATATCTAAAGCCTAATGAAAGACAGAGGATGGAAACCTTGGTTACATGTAGGTAAACAGCCATGTGTTAGGTTATAATTTATGCAAATTTTATTGTCACCATCATGAAGGGGTCGAAAGATGAGAGGACTGTTTGTCACTGAACGGCAGCCCTCTCACCTTCAAAAGGAAATTAGATAAGCAATTTTCTTTGTTTTAACAACAGAAAACACAATACTAATTAATGTCTCCCCAAGGTGAGAAAGCTTTAAATATCAACAGGCTTTCTTTCATCATAATATTTGGTCCACGAAAAATATTAGCAAATAAAATGTATAATCTTGGAACTCTAAAGAAAGTGCCGTCCACAGGTCAAGTGCTCATATGTATGTTGAATGAAACAAATAAGGGTCATATACTAAATAGTTACAGTACTGATTTTGAGGTTAACGCCTTAAACATAGAATTTTCATGTCTTTTGAGAAACTTCAGTTTCCATCTTTTGAATAAAGCAGTGAGAGCTCATCCAACATTTACCCCAACTTTAGTATCATAATCTGAAACATGAGTATATAACTTAAAAGTGTGCATTTCTTTGGTCAGTTGAAGAGGAAAGAATATAAGAATGAATGAAAACAAGTTCTACATAGACACAGAGGAAAAATCAAAAGGTTAAGGAATAAGAGCTTCAGATAATCTTCATTATCTTCAGTCCCACTTACACAAACAAAAACAACAAATGAGCCAGGAACACTAACAAAATCTTATCATTAAAAACACTACATGATTAATCATATATTATTATCTGTACTTTGCACTCAGATTTCGTTATATAGCTTTACTAGTGTATTTGCCTTTAGGTATTTGAGAAATAACACTGAACGTACACCCTGGATCTCCTAAAGCATTTTACTGTGAACAATAACTGGAGTGCAAAAATGAGAAGAGATTCATCAGAATTTCAAAGTAAAACCCTATGCATCACCTAATTCTATTGAAAACGACGCTCATGGCAAATTTCACTTATCACTTGAAACATATTTCAGCCCTTGGATACCAGAAGCAAATTAAAAAACATGCTGTTGCTCTGCTCTGGCAGAGCTGCAAGGCATTATGTTTAATAGTTCAGCATTCAGATTTAGCTTGCTTAAAGTACAATATGGAATCAATGCAATCGTAGAATTCAGGGCAAAATGCATCAGTAATTGCCACTGTAATTACTGTACTGAAAGAGCATTAATAGCACAGCCAAATAATTTTACAAGATATTTTTCCAATAAAGAACTATTTTCTTCACTGGTCAACTTTTTAAATTTAAAACATGCATGTTTTAAATGTAAATGTCTGTATATATTTTATATATATATATATACATATATACACACACACATATACCACACACACATAAAATCACCGTGTGTGTATATATATATACCCACACATATATATAACATATACACACATACATAGTGATTTTATAAACTCTAGATTTAAAAGCTTTTTCTTTACAAAAATGTAAAAAAAGCATTTCACCATTTCAAAAATACATTTTTTTCTTACAAAAAGAAATGAAACCTGGAAGCACCTTAGCAAGTGAACAAAGCAACATATTCCATTAAAACACTAAGATTTTCCTGCCGGTAACAAATCTTCTCAATGAACCCTACCTTCAAGTCTTCTGACACTCACACAAACAGATTTGATTCAAGTTCCTACGAAGCACCCTCCTTTAGATTAAATTAAGCTGTCTAGTAACAATTATGAGGTAGTTTACAGAGTTAGCATCACCTAAAATAATGAACAAAACTAACAAAACTGCATATTAAAAATATTGCTAGGCCGTCCCCGTGGCTTAGCGGTTAAGTGCGCGCACTCCGCTGCTGGCGGCCTGGGTTTGGATCCCGGGCGTGCACCGACGGTACGCTTCTCCGGCCATGCTGAGGCCACGTCCCACATACAGCAACTAGAAGGATGTGCAACTATGACATATAACTATCTACTGGGGCTTTGGGAGAAAACTAAATAAATAAAATTATAAAAAAAAAATATTGCTAAAAATGTCATGAAAGCAGACACCAGACATGTAGCTTTTTATTTATTTATTTTTTGTGTGAGGAAGATCAGCCCTGAGCTAACATCCATGCCAATCCTCCTCTTTCTGCTGAGGAAGACTGGCCCTGAGCTAATATCCATGCCCATCTTCCTCCACTTTATGTGGGACGCTGCCACAGCATGGCCTGACAAGCGGTGCATCAGTGCGCGCCCGGGATCCGAACCGGGGCTGCCAGCAGCGGAGCGCGCGCACTTAACCGCTGTGCCACCAGGCCGGCCTCCAAGACATGTAGCTTTAATGTAAACTTAGTGAAAGCTTGTGACTGGGCTATGTTAGTGACTTCTCCCTCAAAATTCAAAATTTTCATATAACAAACTGTAGATTAAGTAGAACACCTGCAAATTGCTGTCAACTTTTAGTAAGTGCACAAAACCTCTGCCTCAAAACTCACTAGATTAACTCAGAACCTCTTATCAATCTGTCTGGTTTATGATAATGGAAGTATAATTATGAACAGTTTTGAAATATATATTAAACATATAAAAATACACGTATAAATTTTTTTCTGAATAGTCTATATGAGTACGTTGAGGAAAGAACTTGAAGATCTGAGGTTTGTTTATTTTTAAGCTGATAACGCTAAGCTCATTACTTTGGTGCCAGGAAAGTCTCACTACTTACAGATTTGGCAGTAGCAGATATATACTGGACGACCATCTCACGCTTGGTGGTAAAATCTTTGTTTCGCAAAGGAGCTTTTCGTTCTTCATTAAGGTTCATGTCCTCCTATTAGAAAGAACATTTATTGTGAGCATTAGCAAATTTCTGCTTAAGAGTTTCAAAAGTGATTAATAAATATTAATATTCTGTCTTAAAATAGTAAATATGCCGTGACTAACAACAATGATCATTTTTATGGATCCTTCACTATCATTTTCCACTCTAGATACCATAATCTTGTATAAATATCACCATATCTTCATGGTTCATATCTCTACCTAGTCAACTAATGAGCAGAAAGAAAAAATATTTTTAAATTATTCCACAGAATAAATTGGCAGTTTCTAACATAGATAATACATCATACAGCCTTAGTTTATTTACCCTGATATCACAAATAAACACATACCTTACTATTTGGCATATACTCCCTTAGGATCACTATTATCTAGAAAAGCAAATATGATTTGTAAATTAACAGGAAATATATATCTATGTCACTGAAGAAAAATTCATGAGAAGGTGCTGGATTTGGAAAAGCAAAAAAAAAATCAGTTAGCTATATTGGAATTATAGTTAGCTATACTGGAATAACAAAAATCACTCACTGGAGGGAAAAAATATTCAGTTAGAAGAACACATTGTTTTGAGGTTCAATGAGCTTTAATTTGGTTGGGAATCTTCCTTTATTTTGTGATACACACACATATAACATTTTCACTAGACAAATTATTTTTCTTAGTTGTGAAACTCATGTTAATCCTTGCAACATATTAAGACCCTCTTGAGGGGGTCAAAAAACCAAGTTGGAAATGACTATGCTTCAAAAAGCAACATCAAATGAAAAGACTACCTACAGAATGGATGAAAATGTTTACAAATCATATGTCTGATAAGGGACTTGTATCCAGAATATATAAAGAACTCTGACAAATCAACAATAAAAAGACAAATAATTCAATTATAAATGGGCAAAGGATGTGAACAGACATTTCTCTAAAGAAGATATACAAATGACCAATAAAGACATGATGTTGAACATCATTATTCATTAGGGAAATGCAAAACAAAACCACAATGAGATACCACTTCACTCTCACTAGGATGGCTAGGATAAAAAAGATGATAACAACAAATGTTGATGAGGATGTGGAAAAACTGGAACTCTCACACATTGCTGGTGAGAACGTGAAATGATGCAGCCACTTTGGAAAACAGTCTAGCAGTTCCTCAAAATGTTATACATAAAGTTACCACATGACCCAGCTCATACCCAAGAGAAATGAAAACACAAAAATTTGTACCTGAATGTTCATAGCAGCACTATCAAAGAGTGGAAACAATCTAAATGTTCATCAAGTGATGAATGGATCAACAAATGTGCTATACCCATACAATGGAATATTATTCAGTCATAAAGAGGAATGAAATATTGATACATGCTATACCATGGATGAACCTTGAAATCACAGTATGCTAAGTGAAAGAAGCCAGTAACAAAAGACCACATATACTGAATGTCCAGAATAGGCAAATCTATAGAGACAGAAAGTGGATTAGTGGTTGCCAGGAGCAGGGGAGGAGGGATAAGAGAATTGAGACGTGACTACTGATGGGTATAGTGTTTTTTGGGAGGAGGGTGATAAAAATGTTCTAAAATTCACTGTTGTGATAGTTGTACAACTCTTTGAATACACTAAGAAACACACTGAACTGTACACTTTCAGGGGGTGAATTTTATGGTATGTGAATTATATTTCAATTTTTTAAAAAAGGAAAAAATATCAATATTTTTATCCCTTTACTCTCTTAGTAATTCTACCCACTACTATTTTTTTTAAAATCAAGTAAACTAATGGGCAAAGAAAAAATATTAAAATTATTTTAAAGACTCACATGTGAGAACGTGGGGGTAAAAAAAGGACTCATAAAAAGTAATCAAACTGCATCTATCTATTGAAAAGTAACTTCGTTGACAGCAAGAATCTCATGATCGGGGCTGGCCTGGTGGCGTAGTGGTTAAGATCGTGCACTCCGCTTCGGCAGCCCGGGGTTCACAGGTTCGGATCCCGGGCGTGGACCTACACACCGCTTATGAAGCCATGCTGTGGCAGGCGTCCCACATATAAAGCAGAGGAAGATGGGCATGGATGTTAGCCCAGGGCCAATCTTCCTCAGCAAAAAGAGGAGGACTGGCAACAGATGCTAGCTCAGGGCTAATCTTCCTCACAAAAAAAAAAAAAAAGAAAGAAAAAGAATCTCATGATCTATATATGTACTCACTGCAATGACTCCTATGACAATTCATTCACAGTCAATACCTTATAAATTTTGCGTATATATACATGATCCCCCTTCCAAATCACCACTATCACCATCTCTACCCCTACCTTTCCTATCTTATCTCCTTATTCTCATTTGTATATCGTACTTGTTAATGATTTACTTGAAGGCAGAAGACATCTTTTTCCTCTTTTCCTCTCTCACAGGCTAGATCTAGCATTGTTGAAGCAAAACAGAATCATGGAAATGAGGCTGAATAGCACTTTCAACATAGTCCACAGATGTTCACCTATGTTCTGTGTCGATTTCAACTAACAGGGAACTCACTACCTCTGCAGGCAGCCCAGCCCATCTTAGGGCAGTTCAATTTTTGCCAATTTTTCCTTTGGATGACTGGATGTGAAATATGTACAACAAAATATTAATAGCATGTTAAGGTGGCAAGACTGTGTCCTTCTTTTTTCTTCTCTACTTTCTGAATTTTGAATCACTCATTTACTGGACCTGTACCATGCCCCAGGGACTATGCTAGGCTGGCTAGAGGAGTGCAAATTTGAAAGACTGTTTGTACCCACAAATTAAATGAGTTATTATTTATGAAGCACTTAGAACAATGCCTGATACGTAGTAAATGCTATCTTTGTTAAATAAATAAAAATAAATAATTCATGGTCTAGTAGAGAAAACAAATATGCAAACAAATAATTATAATAGAGGTATGTATATGGTGCTTTGGGAACACAGAGGACAGACGGAAAGGGCAGAGAAGTCATCACCAGGATTTGGGTCTTGAAGGATGAGAAAAATCGGAGTGAGGGCAAGGAGACTAGCTAGAAGACCACAAGGGTCTTCTGTCAGGTTTGGCTGCCCAACAGCATTTGAACACGCCCTCTACATCTTAACACATCCTCACAGTGTCAGTTCCACCTAACCAAGGAAGAATCCATAAAAACGACATTTGCCAGTCTCCCTTATAACTAGAGTACAGGCGTGTGACTTAGTTTCCACCAATGAAATGCATTTATAGGTGTAGATTCAGAAGTGAACCATGTTAGGAAGCAGGCCACGAGTAAGCCATCCAAAAGACGTGACGTGGTTATGGAATTAATGGCAGCAGCCACATCTTTTTCATCACAACAGTTTGACTAAGTGTTTCTGGGACGGCAACAGCTCCTTAATTGGACTATATTTCAGTTGTGTGGTTCTAGAAGTTATTCCTATAATGTTATCTGGAGCCTGTTTCTGCAACCCATCTGATTCAAGAGTTACCTAATATCTCTTAATAATATATATATTTCTATTTAAACTAGAGAATATAGGATTCTTTTATGTTCAATAATTTGGACTATTGAAGTAATTCAGCGACTAGCAATAAGTTTGAACTAAAAGAGATGGTAGTCAGATTGGACAGAGGGAATAAACTCAAGAACCACGTAAATGTTATTTGAAGGCAGCATTCTCTCCTTCAGGCTAAAGTATATCTACCTGCTTCAACTTAGCTTCATTGACATGGCTTAGCATCCATATCTATCTCTCTCAAATACTCTGTGGTTTGATAAATGCAAGGAAAGAAAGGACTTCCACCTCCTTCATCTTGAAATGCTATACCTCTACTAACTCAGCCTCTGATTTTACGACCTTATTGGCAAGCACATCATTCTGCTGACTCATACCGTGTTTGTTTCCATGAAAACCCCTAAATACTACTCACATATGCCAGGCTATGTCACTACTGCCTCAAAACATACTGGTTAAATTACAGTCTCCTGCAAATGTGGTTAGCATGAATCTGCATCTCCCAAGTAGAATCAAGTCTGAAATGCTGACAAGGTTGAGTATCTATATCTGTACACTTCACAGCCAGGCCAAAGAGTGTGGTAGTGCCACCTTTGGCAGTCTCTAAGCAGAGAGTTTGCTCTCCTTCCAGACATTTCTACATTATAATGCACCTCCACTCAATTTTTAATGGCATACACTGCTAAGATCATGCCATCAGAGTAGAATCATTTCGTATGGAGGTAGGAAGGATAATAAGGGGAATACGAGATCATAGCAGAGGAATGTTGCCAAGATTAAGTGTGATCATGCACATCAAGCCTGGTGTATATTAACTAGCCCGCAAAGAATACTAGCTATTAGTGTTATTATCACCTCGCCAGTCTCATTTTTTTTTTTTTTACCACTTTTCATCTTACCCTTATGTGTTAATAATGCAAGGTAGTTTGTAGTTTTCCTACAGACGCTATGCTGTTACACACTTCCATTATTTTGCACATGATGCTGTTCTCTCTGCCTGGAATACTGTCATCTTCCCCACCTTCTCCCTCTACCTCCTCCCATCTCATCCCACCCTACCCCACCCAAACCCATATCTGGCTAACTCTTTTTTTTTTATTTTTTATTTATTTTTTGTGTGTGTGAGGAAGATCAGCCCTGAGCTAATATCCATGCTAATCCTCCTCTTTTTGCTGAGGAAGACCGGCTCTGAGCTAACATCTATTGCCAATCCTCCTCCTTTTGCCAATCCTCTTCCTTTTTTTTTTTCCCCCAAAGCCCCAGTAGATAGTTGTATGTCATAGCGGCACATGCTTCTAGTTGCTGTATGTGGGACGCGGCCTCAGCATGGCCGGAGAAGCGGTGCGTCTGTGCGTGCCCGGGATCCGAACCTGGGCCAACAGCAGCAGAGCGCGCACACTTAACTGCTAAGCCACGGGGCTGGCCCTGGCTAACTCTTATACTTCCGCTAATTCTTCAGATTTCCCCCAAAACATCTCACTTAGAAA